CAGCCACACTATCTATATTCTGATTAAGAACAGGGCTGACCGCACTGACGCGACTCAGGGATTATGTAACACGCAGCGTCGTTCGCAGTGCCCTAGTGCCTGTAAATTTAATGGTCCAATTAAGGTAATTTAAAAAATCAGGACATTTCCTCACTTTCTAAAAAAAACCCGGGACGCCCGGGACAGGACGTGAAATACGGATATGTCCCGGGAAATACGGATATGTCCCGGGAAATACCGACGTTTGGTCACCCTAGGGTATAAGGTATAAGAGGGGGGGAGAGGCAAAGGACCACAGGTCGTATTTGGAACCCAGGTCGAGGACTCCACCTCATTACAAGGGTCATGTGTGCTAACCAATGCGCCACCGAAGCACACCCAAAAGATATTTAATGAAGTGAGAGTCAATTGCTCGGAAGAACATCTCTAGTTGTTTGGGCTGACTGGTTTAAGATAATAGAAAGGCAGCAGCCAAATAACCTATCTTTATAATCATGGATTAAAGAAAACCACCTCTGAACACACAGCAGTTAGCATAAGCGCATAAGAACAAAAAATATGAGGTACAATTCACAAAAATTACAGTACACAATGCTGGCTTAGAAAAACATGGCTTCTCCAATGCGTCTCAACATTAGACATTAGGAACAGAAATGGCTTTAAACAGCATTAAAGGGTCCATCAAACCTTTTTTAATAGTTATGATTTGCCGCTGCAACTCCTCACAGGTTAACAAACGCTATTAAAAACTTCAACCATCTCAACATGCTTCTTTAAACATCATAGTGAGTTCATTATTATTCCAACTCATCTACAGTCACCAGAACTATGGGATGAGGTGTAAAAGTAAAGTCCAAGCACAGATGGTAGCCAGAAAAATCTCTGCAAACTGGTCAATGATATCATTACAAAATAGACTGAAATCTGTGCAGAATGTTGTTGAAACTAAGGCATGCAGAGTTGTATCTTAACTAATAACATTTACTTAAGTCGTTTACTCAAGTCATATTTAAAATAACGCTATTCCTACTTTGGTAATGTTTCTGGCTACTATGTCCACTGGGAGCTAAGCAGAGATTAAGTAATATATAGTAAATAGTAGGTATTGTCAGTGGAAGTAATTTACCGACTCAAAAAATATTATGTTTATTTTAGTCTTTCACATAAAATTTTTCTAACAAAATCTTTTCTAAACATTAAATCAGACAATATGATCCAATAATTACTTAGTACTTTAGAAACCTTTTTACAAAATACATTTTTAATCTCACTTGAGTAATTTTTTGGATGACTCATTTTCACTTTTACTTGGGTAAAACAAATGTTTAAATAGTGCCACCTCTGACGGCATGAAGAATTATAGCAATTCTGAAATTTGAAGAGGCCCCAACTGGTACTATCATGGTGCGCATAATAAAGTGTTCAGCACTGCTATCAAATGTATGATCCTGTTTGATGTATCAGTATGTAGAAGTTAGGATGTTAAATTTAACAACCTAAGTATGAGCAAAAAAAAAACCCTTATTTTAGTTAAAAATCTCAGCTTCTCATTTCAGACTAACAATGTTCGAAGTTCAATTTTCCAAATGAGTCTCCTCTTTCCTGTGATCTTTTAATTAAACGTCTGTATTACAATCCCAGATTTGATTCAGCAGCAGCAGTGTTCTTTTTTCTACAGCCTCTTTTCCACTGGGGTAAAAGTCTGGTCATTTTCTGCTTGGCCCTAAATTATCTAATTTTAGTATTATTGATGAAATTCTATTGGCTTACATTTGTTTTGTGTGGTTATATAAGCTCACAAAGTCTTTTTCTCCATCCGATCACACATTGGGGAAAACTTGCAGGTGGCAGGTCATATATTCTCATTACATGAGATAAACTGATTTGCATTCTGTTTATAGTTCATAAAAACCTTGCTGACCCCTCATACACACAGCGCCAAACAATGCTGCTCAGAGGCAGAGTAATATGAAGCACTTCCTGATTTAATTCACCCACAATTAGCTAAAATCCCCGCCCAATAGGTGAATTTCATCCAGAGCAAACTTATTCAGCAGCTGAGCTCACGTCATGGCTTGGTAGATGGACTCCACGCCGTAACGCATGGCGAACTCGTCGACAATTTCCTGCTGAACTTCATCAAAGTAGACCTTCCAGGCATCGTCTCCTTGAGCTGTCGGGATCTTCACCATTCCGCCTCCCTCGACATCGGTTGAGAAGTGAAACATGTTCTGAATGCAGAAAGATAATAAAAAAAAGATGAAGAAAAACCTAAGAATTAGAGTTAAACCTGGCAGCATACATAAAGGGAGCTACATACTGTGATGTACTATGGAAATCTTTGGAAAGGCCACCTTACTGCGCTGAAGTGATTCACTTTTCTAGCATATCTATTTACTTTTTAATTTAGAAAAACACATTTAATCTGGTTGCTTTGATTAAGTAATAAAAGTAGCTTTGATGATTCATTTTTTTTTAGTTAGCAGAAACAATCTCTTTATTTCTACATATTTCTCTTAACTTGACCTTCAAGTGGACAGTACATTTTGTTCTGAGTATTTTATTTTTGTCTTAATTTAGTTTATCTACATTACAGGAATTAACTGCAAAAAGTAATCTTAGAGAAGAATAAAATTTACAGCCCAGTCCATGAGGACTTGTTTAAGTTTATTCCAAGACACAGCAGTTTGAACCCATAGTCAGTGGCGCAAAAAGTGGGTATGCAGTGTATGTGACGCATAGGGGCGCTACACTGGAGGGGCCCCTCTACAAATTTTTTTATAATAACTATATTCATTCATTGAGTTTTTTCAATAGATATCATTCAAGAAATATACCCAGCAAGCCAACTACTGAAGGGTTACAAGGCTCTAGAAAACTTACATTTCCTCATTCAAGAGAACCTTGGTATTTCCACATTTGAAAGTAGCCCTTGGAGTATTTTAACCATGCCTCTGACAGTTGCAACTGCAGAAAGATCATTTAGCAAGCTGAAGCTCATCAAGACATACTTTCATAAATGTTAAAACTCTGACATGGAGTCCAGGCTGTTAAGATTTCATATTTCCGTTACAGAGAATGTTGATGATGTGTTCACATCCACCTCAAAAATATGTAGTTGTGCCCCTACCCGTAGTACATTTTAGTGAATTAGGTGCAGAAATTTGGCTGCTTCACCAGGACAGTGATTCCTAACACCACAAACCTGATGACTCAATCTTTTGAAAGGATTTTTCCAAATCTCTAAACTTGGTTGAAATTCATGCATGCACAGAGAGATTTAAATCTCTAAAAAGAGCCAGGACCTCCTTGCTACCACAAAAAGCTGTTATCAGCTTTGCAATTACCGGTAAGCAGCCTCACTTAGATCAAACTAGAAAAAATTCAGTTTAAATTATTACTATGAGCCTAAAAACAACATCCTTCTGTCTGAGACTGCAAATTTATTCTTTCAATAAAAGCATCATTGTTGGAAAATGTGCTAAAATTAGAAGGTTAATATGAGCTCTTAATATAATACACTGTGAATTCAAAAAAGGCTGTTTTTATGTTTCTTTAAACCAAATAGCTTCCATTTCAAATTGCACATCATGCCATTGGTAAACAAAGCTCTGCTTGGGAGTGAAGGGCTGCTGCAGACTGAGAGAATCTATTTCAAAAGATGATCAGATGTCACAGAACCAGAGAATCTATCGCAGGGCAACACAGAGACAAAAACACACAGTCACACCTCAGGAAAATTTAGAGAAATCAATGAACCTAACAGTCATGTTTTTGGACTGTGGGAGGCCCTTGAGAAAACCCATGCATGCTCAGGAAGAACATGCAAACTCCATTCAGAAAGAGCCCAAGTCGGAAATCTCACCCAGAACCTTCTTGCTGCAAGGCAGCAGTGCTACCCACTCTTCCACTGAGCAGCCCACATAACCACTCCATTGTACTACTATAAGTGTATTAGCTCACTATGAAAAGGACTACATGTGCTTACATACATAAAAAGCATACATGACTAAATGTTTATCCTGGAGCAAATGTCAAATCATGTAACTAGTCTGCTGTACAATATTTGGTGCTTTAAGTTTCAATTCCATTACAATATTCATGTATTAGGTTTTGTTGCAGTGATGAAATTATAAAAAAAAAAAAACAACAATAAACAAATCATATTTTTGGTCTTATTTTTATTTTTAGGATTTGGGGAAAAAAATGAAAGAAAGTTCACATCCCTGCATCAGAGCGCTACCTGTTCGATCTGTGGACGGTTATCCATGTTTGCAACAAAACTAGCAGCAGTAGTGGAGTTAAGTTTTGCAATATACTTCTTAAATCTGTCTTTGCGCTCCTCTTATTTATGAAGAAGTTCTGCAATCACACTTTTGTCTCACACCCATTTTGCGGTCTGCAAATTTAGCAAGCCTTCCCTGGAAATCCCTTTCCAAATGACACTTTTTATATCTTGACAACTTCTCATTATAAAGCAAACATGCAGGCAATCCTTCTGAATTAGTAATAAGAGCAAATGATTCAGTCTATTCTTCTTTGAATCCTCTGTTCTCAGCAGCTATCTTTCTTTTTTCCCTCTAGGATCTATGGCCCGAAACACATCTGTTGGTTTGTCCATAAAAGCCACCTGCCTGGAACCGCACCGCGCTGAAATGTGTGTTACAGGCTATGACGCAAATCTTAGTTGAGAGAAATTTTCAAGTTTAATGTTTAAAATTATTTTTATATAATTTTTTTATAATAACTAATTATTATACAAATTTTAACAGCATGGAAAAACAAAATTAGTGTTTGTTTGACCCACTGCATACCATATTAAAACAAGCAAACAAAAAAAAAAATCCATATATTTTCATACATTTTTGAACAGTTCTAAGGGGGGCAATAAAGAGCCGCATGTGGCTCTGGAGCCGCGGGTTGCCGGCCCCTGGTCTTAACAAAGTGGTAAAGCCAAAGTGAAAACCGTCTGGCATATTTCCTTAAAAAAAATTAGCGATGAATTCAAATGGATGCTTTAAATTAAGTTATTAACATCCCTAATAGTTCTTACCTCATGAAGGCATGTGTACTGCACATGGTATGGAGCAACCTTCTCCTCTCCTTCGATCTCTACACTGATCTGAAGACGGATGGCACCAGACACTGCCGACTTGTCAGTTCTCTTCTCTGCAATGAAAACGTACAGAAACACAAACACACACAGTTAATCTAAAGCCATGCATCACTCAGAGCCATCTGAGAAAGAAATCTGCATCTAATTTGACAGCCGGAGAGAGCAGCTTCTCCACCTGCTTTACTAGTGAGTAATGTAAACAAGCAGAAACAGTTCCAATGCAACAAAAAACCAAAGTTCAGAGTTATTTTATTAATTTTGAATTATGGCTGTCAGTAGACAACATTTTTGCCAACTTTGTTGCTTTTATCATACTTAATAAATAAATGTGGTTTGAATTTGTTTGATCAAATTTGACCTCACTTTTTAATAAAAATATATCATTGTATGTTTTTATTCCCTGATTAAAGTTAATGTGAATTATTAGGTCTTTGCAGGAGCTGACTTGCTGAGTAATTAGTAAAGGAAATTGACAGGTGAGTGAATAATATAAAACAACTTAAAAAAAAAAAAATTCTTTTTTGTTTTTTTTTTATCCTTAGTCTTTAATACATCCTCTTAAGGTTGTGGATTGACAGTGTTGTTAGCCTTTGATTCAAACTTTGACTATTTTTTGTAGTTGTTTCCAATAGTTTTACTAATGCATAAATTTTTCAGTTCTACATACCTAAGTTGTACCAAACGTCCATCTCTCCACTCAGTGTTCGGACCTCAATGATGGTCTGACCCAGGAAGTCATCAGACTCTCTCTTTAGTCGCTGCTTCACCCGTGACTTGATGTCATCGTCCTCATCCCACACTCTGAGTTTGATCCGGTCTGATGAATTGTGGCACTCGCTGCAAGGGCAGAAGATACAGTAAGATCAAGAGAGGATATGTTTGTTAAACAGTCATTGCATTTCTGTAGTTAGCTGGTACAGCAGATAAAACAAATGTTTTGGTTTTAAGACTCTATACACCCTGGACAGATCACCAGTTCATTGCAGGGTAATACAGAGACAAAGAATCATGCACACACAGTCATGCTTTTGGACTGTGGGATGAAGCTGTGGTACCTGGAGAGAACCCATGCATGCAAAGGGGGGAAAATACTAACTCAGTGTAGAATGAACCTGCGCCAGGAATATAACCCAGGACCTTCTTGCTGTAAAGGAACAGTGCGATGTACAAATTGTGCCATCGTTCAGCCCTGGTAATTATGTATGAAACTTTATTAGAAGTTGCATTCAGAGAAAAACACATGGAATGGACTTGGAGACAGAAATGGAAGTTAGAAAGGGAGAGGGGAAAATAATTATTGGGAAGAAAGAGACATTTACACAGAGACAGAGAGAAAGAGAAATCAAAAACAAAACACAGAAAATACAAAATAACTTCTAGAAGTCTGCTTCCTACCATGTAGGAAACAAGAGGAAAGACAAGAAAAAAAAAACACAACACGCCAACCACGAAAAAACAGGGACTATTTCATGGAAATGCAATGAATAATTTATACAAACATCGAAAGAGAAACCTATCAAGATTACGTAATGTGAATCAGAGCTGTATATTTTTCCACTATAGACGCAATGGTGAAGCGGACAACAAGAAAGGACAGAGCAGACTGTACTTCCTAAGGAAGCCTAGGTCCTAGAAGAGTATGATGTCTTCTACCATCATTTACTGAGGTACCAGCCCAAGAACAACTGACTTAAAGAAGCTCAACAAGCTAATAAAGAAGGCAGACTCTGTTCTGAGAACTCCTCTAGAACCTCTGGAGAGGATTTTCCAAAAAAGAATTCTCCACCAAGTAAAGCATAAGCAGACAAATGCAGCATCTTCAGAAGATTTTTAAACAACAACAATGTATTTTTTTAGTCAGAGGCTTCTCCAGATCTGAAGTTGTCAAGACAAAACGATACAGAAGATTCTTTCTGCATACAGTGATCAACACTAATAACAACTCTTTTAAAAACAGTTCTCATGAGTTAATTCAACATGTAATTTCCATGTGGGCTTGATTAAATATTGGTGAATTAAATTGAAATGACTCCTTTTGAAAGTACAGGAATGTATTAAGACTGACTGTATATCCATAAACATGTAGAACGTCTGAAGTGTATGCGCATGAGTGTGCTTGTGTATAAGGTTTATAAGGATCCTTCAGCGGAAAGTTGTGCTCAATAGTTGGTGTGAGAAGCCCCAGAACTGCCCCACACTCGACCCCAGAGGGCACCTGAACATTTGGACACCTTTAATCAGGCAAGGCACCCTGTCTGTAGTGCAAAGCGAGAGCATGGTGCAGCCTCGCACTTTCATTTCTATATGTGCAGTTTAACATAACCATAGTATTTTAGAGTGGAAGACTTCAACAGGGGATCTGCGACCCCTAGGGGGTCCATGGAGGTACTGCATGGGGGTCGCGAAAGTTTTGGTTGATTAGCCTTTTTATTTAATATAGAGTCATGTGTGACATAAACACAGTGACTCGGGTTCATGCCAGCTGACCAAATCTACGTTGTTATAGTATTAATGTGAAGTTTTATTAACAGCGCATACATTCACCTGAGAACTGATGATCTCTGTGTGTTACAGACCCCGGTTGCGTGCACTGAAGTGTATATGACAATTAAGTAGTGGATCTCAATCTATTTACTTTTTTTTTTATTGTATTTTAAATAGTTCTATAGTCTCATAGGTCTTTTGTCCAAAAAATACCAAAAATCTTTTCATAGCAGCCTCTGTTCAAAATCACTTCCAGCGGCCCTGTCTGTGGATGGATCTGTGTTCCATTAAAAGGTGTTTTAAAACCAAGGTAGCAGGATAATCTTTACTTAACCCACACAGCTATGAGAGAGGTTTGAACCAAATGATATCACCTACGTGGGTTTGGAGTGTGATAGATTTTAAGTAAGATCATACAGGCAGAAATATTTTTTCTGCAGGTTTTCACTGTTACTTTAGAGAGATTTTGCAGCATAACCATGAGGTTAAAAAAAAAGAACTTACAAGCTGAACTTTTCCTCCCAAACTGGGTTCAGGTTTCCATAAATGGTCTTTGTTCTCTTCTTGGTCTTTCCCACCTGGATGGTGACATATGGATCACTGGAGCCGGTCCTGTCCTTGGCCTGAAGACCCTGTGCACTAACCACTGAGGGCATTAAAAAAATACAAACGCACACATTGAGTGAGTTTGACTGTAAAAATTGCATAAGAAAAACAAACACCTACTCTCTAACATCATCATCCTTCCTTGTCTCATTCACACACACATCAAAACGCAAGATATCACCCACACAGTTATGCAAAGACTCGTAACACAGTTTTTCATGACTCAGAGCCAGATGCCGGGGAGCAGCCTTAAACTAAAGTCACCCAGTACAACGAGTCGGCGAGAAAACCTTCACGGAAACATGGCGCTTTGAAGTGAGTGACAAAGCAGAAAGGCCATTTGTTTAATCACCGTGCATTATAAAAAATGTGAAAAAACAAACAAACTTTGCTTTCATTTCAAGTTACATAAAGGCACGTAAAATCTGTTAAAATTCTCCCAAATCCTTTTGTCTAAGAAACATAGTTAGTCTTGCAAAAATAAAATGATATCACTTTAACTTGTTTTTATTTTATTGCGACTTACCCCCACACTCCAGGCATGACCTTTGTAAGTTATGCGACAGTCAAACCGAACTAAACTAAACAAAGATGTGTTTTCAGTTGTTTTCGGTAATGTTTAGATATAGAAATCAGAAGTAAGACAGACAGCCACAAAACTTCTTGATCCAAAAAGGGAAAATAGGTTGCTGTTTTTAAATAAAAAAAAAATGGATTAAACATGATTAGTGATGGTTATTAAAATAAATTCTCAAACTCACTTTGCAAAAAGAAACACATTGTATAGCGTGATGTCTTTAAGCCTAATTTCCGTTGAGTATTTCCAATAAAAGAGATTTAGTACAGAAATATTAATGAAAGGTAGGTTATTTAATGCTTTAACATTATCTTCAAGAGTTTTTTTATATAAATTAGCCTCAATGAATTTCATTAATAAGGCTTTGAATACATTCACCCTCTGTCAAATGCTTTTAGAAACACCCTTTGTTCTAAAACTAAAGCTGATTTTAAGGTTATAAAGTTAAGTTTTCAGCATATACTTGTCTGATTCAGACTGGTTTGAAAAAATCTGCTAACATCAATTTTGAAGCCTTGCCTTGGATTTTTAGTCAAATTGAGCTGTGCTAACTTCCAAAAACATTTTCCTTAAACCTTCACTAAGTAACTTTTCAACCTTCAAAAAATATTTTGTTATTATACTTCCATTTACAAGTAGTTGATTGACACCTCTGTCGTGGCCAGATAGGGTCTGTATCGCTTTCACCTAAGCAACACTAAGCAACCCTTTGAGAAGGATGGCAGTAACTCTCTGACACAACTACAAATGTGCAGACTGCTTTATTGCATACATCACTTCCCCCTTTCCCATTTATTTATAAAGACAAAAATCAATGTGATTAGATTGTATGTTTGTGCAAATTGTGCATGGTCGATATTGAGGCAATGTGGCACCTTCCTGCTGGGATCTCTACATGTGTTTGCTGTGAAATTATCAAACATAACATTATATGCTGGGTTGGGTTGGGTGGGGGTGAATGCAGAACTATGGTACAAAACCAAGGGGTTAAAAATTTTTTCTTTTCAACGTCATCATATGACATTGTTTCACCACAATTACATTAGAGATACCTCATCACTATTCATCTATTTTCCATTGGGAACAGTAATGTAGTTCAATCCAATTGCAGGATATTGGAAGATCAGGATTTTACAATGCTATGCACTGGTTCTCATTGGAAATGCTGTCTTTCTTCAGGCAAAACAATACAGCTTTTCTCCACTTGGGGGATCTAAAATTGACCAAAGCTGAAAGTTCTTCAAAGCTTCTTTAAAGTATGGTTCTATAGCCTATTAACTACTAGCAGCGGCCCTGTCCCTTCTGTAAAGCAACATCTCCACCAACATATTTCACTCTGGGATATTCACCACCACATATGCGGCAGCGACAGTTATCCACATTTCATCCTTAAAGATTTTAATATTTTCAAGACTGAATCAAACATGCTCCATTGTTAAGTAAATCCACAATCCTTCTGCAGACCAGATGTTGTGTTTTAATAAATTCCAAATTTTTTGATTTCCATGGGATCTTCTCTTGGTTATCTAAGGTACACTGACCTATGGTTATTGATAACATCACATCAATATCAAAGAGAATTCAGCATCAATTTTGAAGAAAGTCAGTGATCATTTGGTGGAGATTAAAAATATATCCTGTCAGTTAACCATCAAGCTCAACCACTTTGACACATGGGATTTTTAGGACTCATTTAATTATTTAAGTGTGTTTGAAAAATGTGTACTTTTATTTTGTAGATGCATTTTAATCTTAGATCATAAAGTCAGCTCTGAAGAGGTTTGGGTAAGCATGTTATTATGTGCTTGAGCCTTCATAATCAAAGAAATCACGTGACCATGAATTCATTTCAGCAGACCAGCAGGTTATCCCTGCTCATCTCTGTTGATTGGAGAGACAACCTGTGATGGCTGCCATGGCAACACCGCTGCCACTAAAAGCTGTGTGGTGTGTCTGGTCGCTTTGGTAACAGCAGTCGCCTTGTTGCCGTGGGTGAACATGAGTTTGGGGTTTCATAAAGACGTGGGAAAGGTAAACATCCCTTGATGCTTCTATCTGGAGAAACCTGACTTGCTCAGTAACACATAGTTTCATAATCACAGCCACAGGTCTTTATAAAGGAGTCAGATGTCCCAGCAACACGCTCTGATTCAATGGAACTGTTTTGCTTCCTCTGACTTTTTAATAAACAGTTTTAGATTGTGCCACATTGTATAATGATACCTAAATATATCATTATCTAAGGGGACCCAATGTATTGCCTTGATTTTTTTTGTTAGACAATCTTCCTACAATGTTTGAGAAACCTAAACAAACTATATTTAACTAAAGATGGGAACTAATCCGAAATGGAGTGCTACGATTCATGGTGTTGACTTATAATCCCCAACAGGAGAGAAGCAACACTTTCCACATGGAATATGAATGAAATTTAGAGAAGTGATTAAGAAAATCAAGTCATCTCATGAGCCCTGTTATACTTCGCAGTAAAAAGGAAAGTAAGCATTTAACTGATCAAAGCACACTGATGAATTTGTTCGTTTTCTAAAATTACTTTAAGTGCTTTGAATTTGTTTCAATATTTGCCTCAAGGCATTTACCTAAGAATTAATTCATAGACAATATTGATGACAAATATTTTATAGTAGCTTCTGACATACTCCACTGGTGTTTGGGTTTTCTTATGAGTTTTAATCTTTCCATTTTTTGAGTGTCCTGTTCTAATGTTCTTGCCATATCTTGCTAATTTCTCTATTCTCTCCACTGTTTCTGAGAGGCTGTCAGATTACGTAATTTGTTTGTGCTTAGTTTCTTACTAAATTCTGGCGTTCTTTGCAAATTCCATTTTTTAGTTAGATTTCTTTTAGACATTTCCCACTTATTTAGTAGTTTTTTTGTGTCTCAGATTAGTACGATCAATGTTATTTAGACTGTCTTCTTCAAGCTCTTTGCTTAGTTTTCAAATAAAGCCCAAGACACACATTTGCATCCCATCATTCATGCTTTGATCCATTTTTTTCAGTGCCTGCATAGATGGTCCCTTTGCAGACCACTGGACAGTAAACTTATATCTGCAGCTGCTGCTTGAAAAAGCTGAGAGATGATCCCAGTTTCACTTTCTTTTCTCTACTTCCATTCTCCTACAGTGGGTAAATACACGGTTAATGTTTTATAGATTATGTGTGTCCAGGTTTGCCCAGCCTACCATACAAAGAAAAACTTTTTTGCCGTGTGTTTCTAGCCGAACTTGTGGGGACCAATCTTACTTATTTAGTTTCTATTTACCAAAACTAGATTAAATTTAGTTCAGAAATACTTTAATAATCCGAAAAAGGAAATGAAATGTTGCAGTATACATTTAAAAAAACAAACATATTTTGTTGGTGTTGATAGCTGTAAGCAGGAAGGTTCTTCTGTAGCTGTCTGTCTTGCACCAGATCTGGAGAAGCCTCTGACTGAAGACACTATCTTGTTGTTCAACAATCTTCTGAAGAGGATGCTCACTGTTGTCCATAATTTTCTACACTCTTCGGAAATTCTTCTTTGTTAAATAATCTCCAGAGGTTCTAGAGGAGTTCCTAGAAAGGAGCTGGCCTTCTTAGTTAGATAGTTGAGCTTTTTTAGGTGATTTGCTCTATGCTGTTACCAAAGCAGATGATTGAAGAAGAGATCACACTCTCCACAGCAGACTTATAGAAGATATGTAGCATCTTGCTGGAAACACTGAAGGAGCTAAGCTTCCTTGGGAAATACAGTTGGCTCGCTTCCTTCTTGTAGATGGCTTCACAGTTATGTCCCCAGTCTAGTTTGTTGTCTAGGTGAATACCAAGGTATTTATACTCCTCCATTACTTCCAGTTCTTCTCCCATCAGGTTAATAGGATTCAACTTGTTCCCGTATCTTCTGAAGTCAACCATTATCTGATGCAGCCTACTTTCCATATGTGCTGCTGTGCAGGATTTCAGGCAGGCTGGCTACTACAACAGGCGGCAGGATTAGGATCTTTAAAAGTTTTCCTCCAGCACATGTAGTATTTTACAACCGGCTTGTTGTTTAAGGTGAGTAATTAAGGTTTGAGAAACTGTGAGGTCAACGCCTTGTAAAGTAACCTTAAAGGGGCATAGTCTTGTTATATGACTCAAATGCACATCCCATTAGCTCATTCTGGATTCATACACAGTTTCTCTTAAAAATTACTTGATCATGCTGGCAAATGTGTTATTTCTGTGTTTCACACTTTGTTTTTGTTAAATTTGCTTGTAAATAAAGCCTCTCAGTGTGTAATCACCATAAAAACACCCCATGAACAGAGAGGACATTGTGCGTGTGGATAATTGGTAAACAAACCTAGATCATGGAGGTGAGTGAGTGTATAAATTCTGGTGGAGTTGCAAAAAGAAGAGGAGGTCCAAAAGTGTGAAAAAGCACAAAAAAGATTTTAATCATAGAGGGAAAAGACTGAAAAAATGCTTGAAATACATCATGAACATTAGTGTTCACTGAGGCATGAGCCACAGCTGCCAAAGGATTCTAATGCTTCTGCAAAGTGTAGATTGCTGCAAGATTACAAGTCCTTACTAATATTGGTTCCAAGAATAGAAATGCTATGTTAAGTTTTAGTCTAAATTTTGCAAGTTTGAATAAATTGAATGATTTATTGATAGATTCAAATAAACAGAGCTTGAGGGGGAGATTTATTTTCCAGCTACTGGAATCCAGAAGGCTATTTAAGATCAGATTAAATTCTGGTCTCATCAATAACATGCTTATGTTTTTTTAGTAAATGTATGTTTAATTTGTTTTTATTCTAATTAAAAGGAATTGTCCATTGACTTATTTATTTCATTGCAATATATCCTTGATGCCTTTTCCCTTTTTGCATTTGGTAAGAACAGGATTTTTCTTTTCCCTCGATGTTCTGTTAAGAGAGACTGAGGTGAATTTACTAGAACTTAGAATTATTGTGCATTTGGGTTGGCCTTTGACCACTCTGAGCTGCCACTTAATTTATTAAGCAGCTACTTCAATTGTCGTCATCCGGTTTTGACAGTCCTGTGGTTATGCTGAGGGGGACATTTCTGCTTATGTCTGCTCAGTGCTAAAACTCGTTTTAGGCTTAAAAAAAGTTGTAAATACCATCAAGATGGATGACTGGTCAAGATTAACTTTTTTAGTCATGATCAAATGATTTTTGGTCTTTTTTGTAGGGCCAGAAAACATGACTGTGCACCTTTATATTTCTGTTAGATTAATTCAGAACTTCTTTTTAAAGCACTGAGTCACTTGTTATTTATGAAAAAATGATATTAAATTTGCATTTGAAATTATTTCACAGTTGAACACTACATTGCTACACTTTACGAAAGTGTTTGTTCACAAATGTTTGTCACAAACACAAAGAATGGGTCATTTTCAAGAGCTCAGGAGCAGGGTCCAAAAAGGGTCCATAAAGACATGGATGGGAGAGTCTGGTGTGGATGAAGCTGACTGGCCAGCAGTCCTGACCTCCAACTGATTTATGCATTTTATGACATATATTTTGCCCTCCACACTTGAGGGATTGCATCACAATGACCCCCGGCTGTCTGCCACTTTGGGAACCCCTGAAGTAGAGGATGTATGTGAGGATGTGGGTCTGACTCCTGGGTATGGAGGAGCAGGTTGGGCGGGAAAACCCCTCAGATATCCATTCAGATTGCAGGGGAGGTGTGGGAGGTCGCTGAGCTGCTGATCGGAGGAGCAAATCACCTTCTAGATGAACTAAAGCAGAGACTGAGAGCCAGGCATTCTCGTCCAACATCAGTGTGCGACCTCACAAATGCGCTTCTGGAAGAATGGTCAAAAATTCCCATAAACACACTCCTAAACCTTGTGGACAGCCTTCCCAGAAGAGCTGAAGCTGTTCTACCTGTAAAGGGTGGACCGACATCATATTGAACTAGGGCTGCAACTAACGATTATGTTGCAAATCACTTCATCTGGGGTTTATTTTTTCCATTAATTGATTAATTATCAAACGAAAACCTTTCCACTTGAGGAGTTCCAGATTTTTTAAATCTTAAATGCAAAATGTTTAAAGATTTTTCTACAATTTTGTTATTACCATTGCTCTAAGTGACAGGCCTGTTTTACAGTCTTTATACTCCAGTCAACGATTAATCAATTACTAAATCAGTTGACGATTATTTTAATAATTGATTTATCACGATTAATACGATTAATTGATTCAGCCCTATGTTGAACCCCCATGGATTAGGAATGGGACGCCACTTAAGCCCATATGTGAGTTACGACAGGTGAGCGAATACTTTTTGTAAAATAGTATATCTGAAACCCTTTAGATTAGTGGTTTGATACTCAAGTCTCCATGAACTACAGTTCATGAGGACTGTCTCTGCTTAAACAAACTAAACCTGGGGAAAAACTGACAAATCAAACAAACGTGACCTTATGCATTAACAGAACTCTTTGCAGAGCTCTGAAAAGCCAAATTACACTAAGGTAGTTTTGCCATTTGACTCATGAGTGTATAGGAAGGGGAAAGGAGAAGTAAATTCAGTAGGATGAAGGTCAATGACCTTCAAGGCATGGAGTTTAAGATCACTACATTGATTGAAACACCTTAGGTTGCACAATAATAAAAATCTTTTCAAACTTTTAATAAGCATAACAGAAGGAGGTTAATGCAAGTTCGAATTTTGAGGAAATGCACTTTTCTTACGATTATTTTTCCAAGTTGACCGTTAAAAGTGTTAAAATAGGAATAGATTGCTAATTATTAATATATTCAGCCATGATAGACTTTTATAATTTTCACATCCACACAGATGAAAGGACCCATAAAGGCAACAGAAGCCTACTGCGTCAAAAGGGAGTCTTGTGTTCAATCATTTGACTGACTTCACACAGAGATATGAGTGCTATCAATACCCACAGGGTATGAAGCAGCAAATCCTGTTGCCACATGCCCTTGTGGATCCGAACTGAACATGTAGACACCATAAAGAAACAAATAACAGCTCAATCTTTTCATTGGTGGTAATATATTTGCTTTTCTAAACATTTTCTGTGAAATGTTTACCTAAAAAGCATGCTTCTTTCATCAAACTTTTAAATAAAAGATTAAAAAACCCACAAAACAAAAAAACAATTACCACTTTGCTGTTGCAGTTTCTGGCAGAAAAGGCTCTGAATTTTTTCGGTAGAGAAAAAGTATTATGCAGCTTTTTTTTTTACAGTGTCTCTATAGGCCGACCGGGATGGGTTATAAAAAGTATAAAAATGGTGAGTCACAGGTTACTATGGCGATTTTCCCTTTTTTTCTCCAGGTAGCAGACAAGGGGAGAGAGTCTGAATAAGGAACCAAGTGGAGCAGCTGCTCCCCCATTTTTAAACAATTTGGAGTAACCATGTGTTTCTGCTTCCCCTGTTTTCTGACCCAATGTAATCTGATATTCCTTTTCCTTTTTTAATCTAACAATCCATAGACGATATTAGACAGAATTTCTTAAAAACTGCTCCATATTATTCTAAACTTGCACCACTGGCTTAAAAAATAAGCAGGAAAAGGGTGCTGCTGCTCCTGTAAGAAGCAACTTTGTTGAGAAACTGAGCCACTGATTTATTCACCGTGTAAAATCTTCAGTGAGACCTAGTTATGATTGATATGTCATGCACTTTGCAGGAAAACTGGCAGATTAATAGGATTTCTCACCTAAAATTCACAGGTAAAAGAAAACACACTTAAACTGTAGGAAATCGAGGCTGGGAGTGCACAGCTCTCTGAGGTGACTAGACAGAAAGCCAAGAGTCTTAGAGAAAATTAACTCAGGGCAGGAAAGTAAACACAGTGAATATGTTTTCTAATATACAGTGACGAAAATAAGTATTTGAACACCCTGCTATTTTGCAAGTTCTCCTACTTAGAAATCATGGAGGGGTCTGAAATTGTCATCGTAGGTGCATGTCCACTGCGAGAGACATAAGCCTGAAAAACAGGAGGAGCTGGTCAATCACCTGAAGGGAGCTGGGATCACCATTTCCAGTGTTACTGTTGGTAATACACTAAGAAATCATGGTCTAAAATCATGCATGGTACGGAAGGTTCCCCAGCCCATTTCAATGCCCGTCTTATGTTTGCCAAAGACCATTTGGATGATAAAGAGGAGTCACGGGAATAAATAATATGGTCAGATGAGACACTAATTGGACTTTTTGGTCTTAATTCCACTAACTGTGTTTGGAGGAAGAAGAATGATGAGTACCATCCCAAGAACACCATCCATAATGTCAAGCATGGGGGTGGTAGCATCGTACTTTGGGGGTGTTTTTCCGCACATGGGACACAGCGACAGCACTGTATTAAGGAGACAATTATCAGAGCCATGTATTGCAAGATTATGAGAACAACCTCTTTCCCTCAGTTAGAGCATTGAAGATTGGTCAAGGCTGGCTTCCAACATGACAATGACTCGAAGCACACAGCCAGGATAACCAAGGAGTGGCTCCAGGCATGGCCTAGCTAGTCTCCAGACCTAAACCAAACAGAGAATCTTTGGAGGGATTTCAAACTCCATGTTTCTCAGCAACAGCCCAGAAACCTGACTGATCTACAGAAGAACTGTGTTGAGGAGTGGGCAAAAATCATTTAAGATTCCTTTATGAATTCTAAGAGGGAGAAATTGCAAAATAGTAGTTTTTTCAAATACTTATTTTTCTCACAGTATGTCTCATGATCTCGACAATGTAAAAAAATAAATCATAAAAATTTAAACCAAATTGTGTGGCAGGGATGAAGAAAGTATTCTCTTAAATATCCTATGACTGAAGCACATTGTTTCCTTATAGTTCCTGCAGGAATATTTTTAACACCACAGTCGAAGTACAGCTTACGAAAAAAAACATTATGGAAGCAAATGCTTTCAATGGTTATAGGATTCCCAGTTCAGCCAGATCTGAAAAAAGTTTTTTTTAAAAACCTCTGCAAAGTAAACAGATAAATAATACCTAAGCATTTAATTAACAATTACTGTGATATCGAAACTTTTTTTGGCTTACCTGTGATGGTGATCTTGGCAGACCATTTGGAGGTGCCATCTAGTACGCTCTGCTTGACACTCTTCATGTGCTGGGCGTGAATCATCTTAGAAATGATAAACACCTTCCTGATTTCTTCAAAGATCTCCGGCTTGTTTCTTTCCCGGATCTTCATCCGATCTCTCATAGCCATGATGATGTGGTGCGTCCGATCTTCTGCTCCAGTCTTGGAACTTTTCTCTGCTGCTCCTGAAGATGAATAAAGTCACTTAATAAGAAGCCTCAAAATATCTCCCCAAAGCAGTTTCTGGACATTTACCAAAGTTAAATACAAAATGTATTTACCTACATCAACAAAATGCAGGGAAAATATTTACAATTGTATTTGGTGTAAAAAGATTAAGCACCTTCTACATTGTTAAATTTGATAGGTTTTGATGGATTTTCAGCCCTCTATGAATCCTCTGCATGACAAAAAAATGGGGTAACCAAACTTACTCTGCAGACAGTCAGCATTGAGCAGCTCCTGGCACTTCTCATGAACTTTAACCCCACACTCGGCACAGCGCATTCCCTGCCGAGCGATGCCCCAGAGCAGACCCTCGCACTCATAGCAGTAGGTGGGAGTGGTGGCCGTCCACACTTCAAAATTGTGCGGTGTGGTGCAGGAGATGGGGTAGATCAGGGCTTGTAAAGTCTTCTTATAAACATGGTTTTTCTGAAAAAACAGAAAGCGGGAATTAAAAAGGAAAGTTAATGAGGAAATATTCAAATGGAGGCAGGGCTTAAAATCTGCTCAGGGACAAAAACTTGTTTTTTGGCTGTAATAACTTACGATTTCATATCTATCAATCTTCTTTATTTTGTCATGTTCCTACTACAACTTTTAAGTAACAGGTAGTATTGTGCGTAAAAATGTTCAATGAACGACATTCACTGAATATGTGCATATTTTTAGTCAACGGTGAACTGAACACATCAGTTTTGAATTAATAAAAGTTCACTCTGAGAATAATGAGCCATGCACACAGCTCATGTTCACCTTTTATTGATAACCCTTTTTTTATTGGATAACGTCAGGTTTGACAGCACTTATTATTAAACAGCACTACAGACCAGCATGTCTACTGCTAGTACTAGTCTGCATGATTTAGACTCATCTACTGGTATTTCTGATGCCAGGTTAGCAGAGCACTTGGCAGAATTTTATGAACTAACAAAGGAAGTCTTGGACAGAAAAAAAAAACTCATGTTTTCGTTAATTCCCATTGGAAATAAACAAACTAAAGTCCACACATCAGCCACGTCCACTTAAAATTTTAAGCGACACATCAAGTTAAAGCCTCCGAGCTATCTTGGGAAATATCTGCTACTGAATGAAGAACGTATAAAATCATTTTTGATACAGAACACCTGAATGTAACTGTTTGTTTCTGAGGTTCTATGTAATTTGGCTAAATAAAGGCTTCACTGTACCTGAAGTATATATTGACTGTATCGAATATTTTTCATTTATTTCTATATATTATGATCACACATTGTTTTTTTGTTGTTGTTTTTACAGCACTAGTGGCTCGTTTTTTTAACAGTAGGCTGACAGGAAAGGGGGTATAAGAGAGTGGGAGAGACATGCGGGAAAGGACCACAGGCCAGATTCAAAACCAGGTCGCCCGCGTCAAGAACTAAGGCCACCGTACATGGGTCGTGCGCGCTAACCACTGCGCCACCTGCACGCCCATGATCACACATTTAAAGGGTCAATATGAAGTTCTGCTGTGTAGGATTGTGACTTAATTTACCAACTGAACTTCAATTACTTAATTTATAGATTTGTGAACTTAGTTAACTATGGTAGTTAATTTTCAACTGTGGGAACTGAACTTTAAGCTTGTTCTATAGCTATGAACCAGCACAACATTGGTAACAGGGCCTGTAGATTATGCTACACAGTAGGTAGAAGTATTACATTTAATTGCAAAAGCTTTTGTTTAAAAAGTACAATGAAAAACACAGTAGAGTCATGAGGATAATAAGCTTTGGAATTGGTCTATCATTAAAATTAGCAGACTTTAGAAGGAAATAAATGTGCTTCAAATCCTTGTCTTCTGCTGCTTGTAATGGTTACCTTGAAGAAACATGTGCAGCTACCATTGCTTTGCAAAAAAAAAAATGGACTCACATGCAGAAAACTGCTGCTAAGGATAGTGCAGCTGAATGAACAGTGCTCTGAACAACCAAGAACCTCAGAGTGAAAGGTCAGCTGCAGAGGAAGGTTTAATGACCCAAGAGAGTCAGTCTCCTACAGATGAAGGTGCTAAAGAGCATACCTGCCACAAGTACAGGGTTCACTGAGGATTGGAAGCAGGTGGTTGTTAGTCTGTCTCACGCAGTGAGATGAGGATTTATCGACATCGGCCCTGTGGCAAGAAGGGCAGCAACAAATACTCTACTGTCTCAGAAAAATATAAAGGACAGACATAGATTTTTTAATAAAGTATATGGATCGATAGCTGGTGAAAAAAAAATTCCCTACAATGGATCCACATTTTGAAATCTATAGCTGGTAAAAGATTTGACTGAGTAAGAAAGGTTGAGATCTACCATTAATTATGGTGTCAACAGCGAAGCACCCTGATAAAATAAAGGTTGTTGGATGCTTCTTATCTAAGAGGCTTTGTCTCACTCCTACAGAAGAACACTGCACAGTAAATAGCAGAATAAACAGTGAGATTAAAAATCTCCTCCACCAGAAATCTCTTCAAACAATCTCAGGAAAATCTGGGGATCTTCCAGCAGGACTGGGCACAGAGTCACAAAGAGAACCTGATCAAGTGGCTCAAAAATCAGAGCAGTGAACAGCTTGCACCTTTGGTTACGAAACCTCCGACATTAGCAACTCCACTGGGAACCTGCTGGCAGCAGGTGGAAAAACAGAAGCCAAATCACAAAGCTCAGAAGGATTGACACTAAAAATGATGACTCTTCAAACAGCAGATATCTTAACTTCTCATAGCCTTTGAATCCTGATAATGTTTCAGTTTTAATTGATTATCTTTGCTAATTTAACTTTTTATCAGTATTTTTGAGTCTAGATTATGTTTTTATACGAGATATTTTAGCTACAGAGAACTTGGAAACTCTGCATCTATAAAGATTTACATAAACAAAGTTTAGTAGAATTCAGAGACAGACAAAATAGAAATCTAAAGAGAAGATGAGAAAAAAAAAACATTTGTGCCACGGATTTGTAAATAAAACAAAAATAACTGGTTCTGCGTTTATATTGGAGACAAAATGGAGTTTGGAGAATAGTTTGAGTGCCAGTTGTTTTATTTGGGAAACCAGGTGGTGTGTAAAAGACTCATTCAATGTTATTGTTGGCCTCAGCTTGCTATATCTGCTCTGGTGAAGTAAAAACTGCCATTCTCTGATGAATCAGGAGAGTTGGAAAAGAAAGCATCTCCACAAGATGAACAAACCCCTCCATTTGAAGCCAAGCTTTATCAAGTATGCACAGAGTTTACAGTCACCAAGAAGAGAGCTAAGATCCAGTTAAGGTAACTCCTTTTTAAACATGATTTATTTTCTAAATTTGCACAACTGCCTTGAAAAATAATCAGGAAACATTTTCTGCTGCTCCTCTGACCAGAATTTTGGACCAAAGACTGAGCCACTGATATACAGGTTTATTCTGTGTAAAATCTTCACTGTGAGGTAGCAACAGTCTAGTTTTTATTTATATATGCAGTGTACTATGCAGGAGATCTGACAGGTTATAGGAAGATCTCTCATCGAAAATTCTCAAGTAAAAAGTCAATCTATAAATTGTAGGTAATCAGAGAAACTCAGCTCTCTGGAATAACATACATTTTAGAGCTGCATTATAAACTGTCCATGTGCCCAGGAAAACAAATGTTTCTAAATATTTCTGATGGTGTGAAAAAAGTTCTTAAGAAAATCATAAAACTTAAACTGAACAGTGTGAAAGACATTGATATGCCAGTAGTCGGCTTGGTGATTTATTTACAGTTTTGGCTGTGCTTGTTCTATAAACTATGCCTTAACTATAGGGCTCTATAGGGCTTGTGGAAGTTAAAATTTTGATACAAACAGTTCTTTCATACTAATCTTTACTGAACCAAAAGGTTTTATTGTACTCCCTTCAGGCGTTTTGAAGCAACAGTCCAAAAAGCCTCCAAGAACAGCATTGTTGAAAGATGGTAATGTGCATAATCCTTTAATGCTTGCAAGTTTTGCCAAATCTGTATATGTTTTAAACAACCTCTGCAAAATTGTGATAAAAAATCAAAGGGAAGAGTTTACTTGTGTATTTCTTTTCAGTGTAATGTCTTTGGTGTACAGCAAGTATTTGCTGAGTATAAAGGTATTTGGAATGGAGACATTTAGATATTTTTGGGCTGATGTACACCATAGGACTTTTTTCCTTTTTTTGTATTACCTTTTGCCAAAATTCACAAGAACAAATTTGGTTTTAACAACATTGCAATTGCTGATTTTCTTCTGGTCATCACTGCACTGATCACAAAGCTAAAGACATGCTTGGATTCAAGGTTATTTTTTTAATGGCCTCAAATACTGTCTTGTGAGAAAGTTTATATTTCCTTTCCCTAAATATAACAGGAATAAAGCGAGTCACTCTATTAACTTTTTTTATTCTATTGTCATCAAATGCAGTCAAATGTCCAGTTCTAACTAGGATCTTTAGTAGTTGGGACCACCATCTCTAAAGCATTGAATCACCAAATGCTAAACATTTTTAAAATGATGTTAGGATTGAGGATGCACAGAATTCAACAAACTAATATGCAGTATGACACCTGCAAGCAGTAGACTGATGTTTTATTTAGGGTTAGGTATGAGTCCGTAATGGTTAGGGTTAGGGTAAGGGTCACGGTTAGGGTTAGGTGTAGGTGTAGGGTTAGGAAATTAATGGAAGTCAATAGAAAGAAAGAAAGTGTGTATGGTTGTTTGTTCTGTGTTGCCTTATGGAGGGGCATCTGTCCAGGTTTTATTCCGCCTCTCGCTCAATGACTGATGAAAATAGGCAGGAATAAGCGGAAAATGGCATGTCGGATGGAAGTTATGGGGCAAATTAATGAGTTGCCATCGATACTCTATCCCCAAAAAACAGAAGCTGACATTATCTGGCAGAAAAATATAGAACAGAGGGCTAATAAGAACAAGCAACAAGTCAACTCAAGAGGACAAGAAATGGAGAAAAAAAGCCAAGTAGAATCAGTTAATTGAAAACAATTAAAACCTTGGTAGCGATTTGCACTATTTATTTATGTTATGAAACTAAGAAATTAAATAGGAGGTTAACTAAGTCTATATTTACCAGAAACCAGGAAGCATTGAAAAAAATATCTTTTTTTATTATGGTTAGGTGCTCCCTAAACTATTTCCAGTTTTAGTCCTCAAACTCTTGTAGCTGCTCTTCATTAACTATAACTTACTTTGTGCACCAAAATTATCAATGTTTTTCCCTATATAAAATGTAATTATCAATAAGAATTGATAAATAACAGCACTTTCAGCACAGAGCCAGCTATTAAAATCAGGAAGGCACACCTTTCATGAAGCTGATGTTGTGGAACATCAGCCATTTCCAACAAACAGCTAACAATGTGACAGCAGGAGCACAATCCAAAAGAAGAATACTAAACAAAAGTACCTGAATAAGTTGTGATAGCTGTAGGCATCAAGATACTCACAAGCTCTTCATCCTTTAGTGAGGTCCGAGTGGCCAAAGAGTGAGTGAGTCCGGCTTTTCTGGACTGAATGATAGTCTGGAAAAAAAGGAAAGCAAGAAATCAGGAACTCACAGCCACAAACTATCAAAGTAGAAAAAAATGAAAGAATAAAAAATGTTTTGTTTTCATGTCTGCTCATTTTAAAGTTTGAAGGAGATATCACAAATAGACACATCTGTTCTCCTTTTGTCTTTGCCTTTTTTGTCTTTTAACATGCAAAGAAATGTTAATTTAGAATCCTAATACTTCTAAAATAAGAACAACTAAATAACATATCCCTATGAAATCATACACGTATACTAAAATGGAAACATGTAAAAACCATTGTAACAGCTTTCCAACAGTTTAGTAATATTTGTTAAGGTTTATAGTAAAATGTTTAATGTTGAGTTTAGAGACGGTTTGGATGAGCTTGAGGCACAGGGGGTTTGGGCAGGATCCAGGGAGATTTTCTTTATATATCTTGAAAGTTTTATATATCAACATGAGGAAAATGTGGAAGCTTAAAATCAGTTCTCATGCTGCAACATCTCTCTGATTGAGCGTCACACCTGTGAAAAATCCTTCAGATGCTTCTCTGCTTCTTTTAAACCCAACAACATAAGCTGTCAGTAACCATTAAAATAAACTGCTTTGTGACCCATTAGATCATAATAAGTAGTTTCTACTTTAGAAACGTAATGAGGCTTTACTATAATGAAACAGGTTCAACAGTTAATTGGTTGCATTTAGTTTAATTAAGAGACACATCTGAGTAACTAAGTCTGAGATAAATGCGCATTTGTATAGCTTTAACACATAGCCCTAATAATCACATGTAAACAGCCTGAAAATAGGAATGTCTTCTAACGCTGTAGTGCAATACCAGAAAAAAAAAAACCCACACTTTAAAATTGAATTATCTAATGTAAAGACCATAGTTAAGGTAATAAATCATAATTAATTTAGTTGAAATTGTAACTCCATATTTCTTCAATAGTATTCAGTCGGTCAGTGGCTAACCTGGATGGATGGATGGATGGATGGATGGATGGATGGATGGATGGATGGATGGATGGATGGATGGATGGATGGATGGATGGATTAAAAGTAGCTTTTATACTAGGGATACCAAATATTTGTTCCACTTTTTTCTATTTAGATAAATTAGTTTAACCCCAAATCATCCAACTGTATTCAAACAGTTAGATTTTTTCCCTTTATGTAATTCACGTGAGAAAAACATTTCTTAAGTTAACCATATGTTTTTCTTGTCATATTCAGCTATATCTGTCTATAAATCTAGATGAAGCTAACCCATTTACAGGCATATCTTGAAGACATAAAAACCTGGACGATTCTTAACTTTCTGCTCCTGAATGCAGACAAAAGAGAAGCTATTGTCTTGGAAAAAAGCTGATTAGTCAGTGACTTCATCTGAATGACATTAAATTGGTATCAGGTAATAGAGTAAAAAACATTGTTGTTATTTTTGATCAGGACCTGTCATTTAAATCCCATATTAAAGAGGCTTCAAGAATTTCCTTCTTTCATCACCGAAATATTGAAAAAAATAAGAAATATTCAGAAATTATCAAGGGGTGATGCTGAGAAACTAGTCCATGCAATTGTTACTTGCTGGACTATTGTAATTATTTACTATCAGAAAGTCCACAAACTGTAGTTAAAAGCCTTCAGCTGATCCAAAATGCTGCAGCCAGAGTTCTGATGGAAATTAAAATCCTATCCTTGGTATCCTATCCTAGCTTCTCTTAATTGGCTTCCAGTTAAACATAGAATCAAATCTAAAATCCCCCTTCTAACATACATGTTATATCAGAGATCCAGTTGTACCTACAGTAACAGAGCACTTTGCACATATTTTGCTGGTTTACTAGTGGTTTCTAGAATTTCTAAAAGTAGAATGGTAGGCAGATCTTTTAGTTATCAGGCTCCTCTCTTGTGGAACCAACTACTAGTTTTAGTCTGTGAGACAGACACCCTGTCTACTTTTAACGGTAGGCTTAAAGCTTTCCTTATGGTAAAGCGTATGGTAAGAGTGGCTCGGGTTATCCTGAGCTATCGCTATAGTTATGCTGCTATAGGATTAGACTGCTGGAGGACAAAAGGACCCCTTTTCATCATTCTGCTTCATTCTGTCTATTCTCTCAATCTGAGGTACTTCTTAGTTCCACCCATAACTTTAAGTTCTTTCTGGTCTTTTCCCCATCATAGTAGCTTCATCTGGTCTTTTCCAATGTGGCTGTGACACTATCCTGGCGAGAAAAATCAGATTTGCTCCTGCCATCAATGCCTTTGTTTATAGATGTTGGAGCTTGGCCTGTTATTCAGTCCTGAGCCTGGTTCTGCTGCAGGTTTCTTCCTGTCAAAAGGGAGTGTTCATCTCCACTGCCGCTACCTGCATGCTTTTGACGGATTGCTGGGAAGTCCATTAGTCAATGCAATGAGCTGGTTTTCCTTAGATTGAAAACTTTGAACAAATCTGACTGTATGATCTAGTTTAACTGTCTCTGTAAAGTGCCTTAAGATTACTTGTGTTGTGAATTGGCACAATAGAAATATAGAAAAATAGTCATACTGACTAGAAAAACTAATGAATGTAATTTAATATTTACATTCAACATTGTCATCCTGTCACATCGGCAATTCTGATTCTACTGACTGTATTAATTAAACTCGTATTCTTTTATAATTAACCTGAAATTTAGTGTATATTAATCAATTTCTTGGGTCCTTTTCCTATATTAAAATCAGGTGGTGATGGTTTAGAGGTACAGTATACTATAAGAAATATATCAGTATTTATTCAGACAGAGTGTTATGCTTTGTTAGAACTCCCGTTACTAATGATTGGAGGCACATTAAGTTAATCAAAGCATTTCTTAAAACAATCTAAAAAGCCCCACCTTCATGTCATCTTGGGTATCTATACAATAAAGTTTGAAGAATTTTTACTAACCATCACAAATACACAGCTGGTTGGTGTGTTTGTTTATAGGTATGTATTCCCCATATAAAATAAATTTCTACAGCTAGCAGACTGAAATCCCTTATTCCACTCGGGGGCTGTCAGGGAATTTCAGACCAAATCATTTCAAACAGCAGACATAGCAAATAAAATCTTGCTCATCTTTTACTCACCATAGCCTGAGCAGCCACATCCAGGGAGAGGCAACATGGGCAGAGAGAGGAAGCAAGAAGGAAAGAGATGTCAGAGTCACACTTTAGTCTTGACATTTTGTTTTATTTATTTTTTATTGACTTTAAGAAATCAATATACTGAGCAAATCAATTTCAGCAGAGGTCACATAATATAAGTCTAAAAGTCTGTTTTTTTTTCATATAAATAAAAAAAAAAAAATCAAGAAAAAAACAAACACAAGTTACATTTCCTTTGACACTTATTCATGGAGTGTGGATATGTAGTTGTTATAACATTGTTATTGTATCTGAATTAAGACTAGTACAAACAAACGTCAAAGTCCAGTTTGTATAGTATATAGTTTATTATTTTTATTCTGACAAGTTTATTGTAACTTTAACACTTTTTTAAAGCTTGTAAAATAATCCCCAAACAACTGGTCCTAATGTAAAGTTGCAGTTGTGTTCAATTACCCTCTTTCTTCTCCTAACGGATCAATAAGGTACCCTGAGAGTGTTATTATTACTGTATGGGAGTATCTATGATTAGTTCCTACATAGAAATGCACAGATATCATCTAACACTTTAATAATATGTAGTTGCTTAAAATTATTGCTTGCCTGTTTAAATTATATTAAGGGAGTATGGTAGTCATTCTGCTCAGCATTTAATTATGTTATGTTAGTCTAATTAGATCAAATTGACGAGAAACAGTCTGTGTATGCCTCCCATTACAGAGCCTATAAGTGAGCATGTACCTGTTCCTCATCTTAAATATTATCTTATTTTTGAGTAAAATGTTTTATTAATTAAAACAAAGTGCTCATAGCTGAATGGAGACATTGCATGCAACAATTTTAACAGCGGGGACCTCAAATACATGGTGAGATAGGGTTAACACAAAATTGATTCAGCTGTGTTTCAGCTGCTGTTGCTTTAATTTGTAGAAATAAATGAAACAAACAAATGGATAAAATAAATGAGTTTTAGTTGAAAACATTTTCGCTTTTCTAAAATTTTGAATGTTACTTTTCTGTTTGGTAAATCTTCAAATAACATATCCTGTGAGTACAGATTTAACTGTAAATTGGTATTGTTCAGTGAATTTCAAGACAGTCAAAGGCAGTTAAAAAAATGTATTGATTGGATTACTCACCAATTCACTAACAAGAGGAATAGGCCTCCTCTTGCGGAGGTCTGGCATGCTGTCAATGCCAAATGGTGTGTTTGCCCTTTAACAAAGAAATAACACAAAGAAAATGTAAAAACAGAATAAACTTCACTTATTATAATCAATCAATCCCACATAAAGGCTGTACAGACCCGGGCTTGGCCCACGGCTGCTTGCTGGGGTCAGCGGCCTGCCCTTGGCTCTAAAATGAGATGTCATAGGTCGAGCATTAATTGGGGTAAGGCTGTAAGTCTGATTTTAAGACAAAAGACCATGCAAACGAAGAGGTATAAGATGAAAAATATAGAGTGGAGCAAGTAACAAGAGGAATAGATTGAGACTAAATTGTGTTGGCTGAGTTTCGGTTCTGCATGCCAAAGAGATCATTAATTCTTTGGGACTATTTATTGTGTTTTTTCTGACAGCAAGAAGAAATAATATGAGGGAGACAATAACAACATTAGAGTATTACACCTAATAATAATACTTTTTTGGACAATACTGTGTCCATCACACTACTTTTAAAAACAAGTCAGCATTATCGTGGCACTACCTGGATCAGTGTAAAAAAAGCAACAACAATTACAGAACCAAAGGACTACAATAAGGTCAAAAATATCCACAGAAAAGAGAGTAAATGGTTGAAGGTTTGATTAAAGGTGACCTGATCTCCATCTTGACTCCCATCTGTAAAACAGCAAAAGAAAAAAATGACAGAAACAGATAGGAAGACAAAAACATTCATTTACCATCTTGATTAACTGAGTTAAATATCAAGCCATGTGCTCGTGCATTGTTTCAACAAGATTAAAGTTTAAAAGCAGCACCACTACTGAGTTTTTCAATAGATGGGTTCCTAGGTCGTAAATGTTTGATTAACATGTATAATTAATCATGAAAATATCTCCTAATATTTCCTTCCAGTCCTAGTCTTTGATGTCCCACTCACTTTCAGAGGAGATAATTAATGTTTTCTAATTCTGCAAATGGATCATGCTGATGCCTTGCAGAGGAGTAAGGGAGTTCTGAGTGGCAGTTGATATGTGCTCACAAGAGAAGTTCAGATAAAAAGCAATCACCTTTGTGTGATCAAACGGAAAGAGGGTCTTTGTCAGTAAAAACAAACCTGATAGAAAAGATCAACGAGTTGTCAAAAATAGGAATAACAGTCTATCAGAGGACAGGAAACACTAAATATATTTATAGCACCTGGCAAAAGTTTTAAACCAACCCTTTTTTCTTGGTTATTCATCTAGCTTGAACCTTCTTGTAATTTCTTATAGTGGTTTTGTTCATTATCTGTCCAATTGTTGTTAAGATAAATATAGTTAATTGCTAATTTCTCTTTAAAAAATGTTCACTGTTTAGTCCAAATAAACCTTAACCTAAGAATAAATCAAGATTTAAAATTCAACCAAATTCAAAAGTCCAACCAATTTTTCCGCTCTTTTGTAAAAGAAAAAAAGAACAACAAAACAGAAAACACTTTATTTTTTATAGTATTTAGGCCTGATGCATGTTTGTCTGTCCTTCTCTTGTCCATTTGTGTTCTTTCTTGCAATCCTCTCACTGATTATGATGTGGTCCTTTTCAGGACTAAAATGATTTTGGTGAGCTACTTATCAAAGTCCAAAGAAAGACTTTCAAAGGCCAAAAAAAAACATAAATATGATTTAGGACCAACAGCAAAAATTGAAATGAAAGTCCTGCTGCTTTGATGCAAAATATTGGGTGGTTTAATATAGAACTGCCTTATATATGAAACTGTAATAGTCAATGTCATTATGTGAAATGTTGCAGTTACAAAAGACAGCTTGGATGCAATGCACTTTATAATATATAGTTTAGATCAATCAAACTAATAAGCAAAAGTTCAAGGAGATTGGTTACTATATATCTATATAGATAGATAGATAGATAGATAGATAGATAGATAGATAGATAGATAGATAGATAGATAGATAGATAGATAGATAGATAGATAGATAGATAGATATTATACTTTATTACATGTCTAATACCAATCATGGATTGGATGATCAAAATGTAAAGTAATTGCTACCTTGTTCCATCTCTTCCTGGGAGAAGGTGGACATAGTCATACTGACAAGGTTGCGTCTGGTTTCCCTCTTCTCTCTCAGAATCTGCTGAAAGCTCCTCAGACATTTCAGCTTGCGTTCATCGATTTGGGGGGTCTCTGTTGATGACGCTGCTTCATCTCCCACTGGTTGTACCTCCAAGCCTCCAGTAATGTCAGTGACATGCTTTTGTGGTTCCTCTGTGGAAAACACTTTTTGCAATGCTACATGCTCATCAGCCTGAAATGAGGCCGACAAGGATTCTTCAGTGGTGCACTGGGAAACCTGTTCTTTCTCATTCACATCCTCAGGTCCTTTTAAAGTTTTTTCAGAAATGCTCTCTCCTGTTAATTTTGTAAGGCCATCAGGTGTTGGAGTAGTATTGACAAGACTGTCAGGACCCATGGAAGTTTCTTCAAAGCTTGAGGAAATCTTGCTCAAATGAGGAGGATTTTGGCCAGAATCTAGGGACTCAAGGCTTTTGCTGATTTTATCAACTACAGGCTTTACAGAATCATCATTAGACTTTTCAATACTATTGTTTTTAGACAGATCACCAAAAGTACGAGCAGAACCAACATCATTTTCATGGAATAGATTTTTTTCTATATGTCCCTGGGTGGATGAAAGTTTCAAAGACAGCTCACTTGTAGGAAGGTCAGAAGGCATTGCTAATTCAAAGTCTAGTAGGTCTCCAGAATTTGTTCCTACAGGTCCTTCAACCTTTCGCAGAGCACCACGTAAAGCAGACCTAAAATCAAGTACAGCTTTTCCTATGCGTTTTACAGTTAAACTTCCAGGTTGGACATCAGTATAACCAGAATCAGAGAGTTGGTTTTCCCAACTTTGACTTCTGTAGGATCTTACAACTACATCTTCTTGGATATCTGAAGGTCTCTCTGTCCAGGTCCCAGCAGAATTCTCGTCATAGGCTAGATGGGTTTCAGTTTCACTGTTTGTTCTGAAGGTCAACTTATTTGTTTGATCAAACTCAAATTCCTCTGTTTCTCCATCATTAACCTCAATTGAATGGTATCCTGAACTTTGAGGGTAGGAAAGATCAGCAGAATAGTCGTATCCAACAGGGGAGTTGCCAAAGCTGTTAACGGTTGGATTGTGACTCCTGGGCTGACTCTGAGGACGTCTCATCCATGACTCCCGCTCCTTCCTGCTGGAAGTTCTGGGAGGTGAGTTATAATGCTTTCCAGAGCTAATAGAAATATGTTCTGAGCATTCTGTGAATGTCTGTAGCGGTGCACTATATCCTCCTGCTCCTCTGTAGTGATCCCAGTTTTCAGTTCCTTCACAAAAATGAGAGCTCTTGCTGCTTTTCTTCTCTAGACCCCTATCCCTGAGGTAAGTGCTATCCTTGTGCCACTTAGACTGCCTACTAACACTACGTCTGGGTATGGTGTTAGTCCATTCTTCCTCTGCACCAACTCTTGGGTCCTTTCTTTCATAACTAGATAATTGTCTTTCAAAGTCATAGTCAGACTTAGAACTATGACCAGAAGACAAAGAGCTAGTGCTTGGAAAGTCTTGGACATCCCCATGTTCAAGAAAGTTTAAGCTAAGATTTCTTGCAGTTGCACCTTCTGGTATATCTGAACTATGATCCGAAGTATCATCAGGTTCCTCCAGTTCCTGATGATCATCTGTTGAAACCCTGTGGGACACCTTAGACCCTTCTAGCCTTGTTGGCACTAGTACCCCATGTATATTTTGGGGCTCATACCCTGGCAGAAAACAGTCAAGATCCAACTTTGCTAATGGACTCCCTAAACTACCATAGGCACTGGCAGGCCTTCTACGTGTGGATTGTCCATCTTTACTCCCCGACCATGTAGCTGAACTGCTTTTGTTGCAAGAACGGATGCCCTCGATTTCCAATAGTACGGCATCTACACACGAGGACACTTCCTCAACTGAGCCCCGCACTGAGGTCAGATAATCCCTGAGGTCTGAGATTTCTTCCTGGATCTTATTGATGCCCCTTAGCTCCTTCAGAATATGGTCAATGATGGCACTTGAAGCCTCTTCTCTATCTTCATCCTCTTCCAGAAGGGTATTTGGTAGAGCTCTGTTGAAGTCCACACAGTCACCAGCGGAATATGGTCTTTTGGGTCGAATGCGAGGTGATGAATATTCTTGGGTTCTTGATACAAACTTTGTTCCATTCATGTCTGGGCTAACTGGTGTGTATAGTGGGACAGGTTGGTTGTGCTCTGGAGGTTCCCGAAGACCACTTTCAAAAGATATGCGTTTTTGATTTCTCTGGGATCTGGAGCTTTTATGTTGTAAAGTGCCAGGTAATCTTATGCACCCCTCTCTGTTCAGTTCCATTTCTCCTACACAGGGTGGGCCTGATACAACTTCATGTCTTTTAATGATTGAACCTTTTGTTGTGAAAGCCTCAGACCTTGGGGTAACCTTCGGATAAATACTTCTGAGCTCTTTTCTATTGTCAGGTGCTTCCACCTCCTCCTCTTCCTGTTCATTGCCTGGATAATAAAGGTGGGAATCAGGGACATGGTGATCTGCAGAACCTTGCAAAAGACGATGAATTTTGCCACGAATGACCAATGCTACTTTTGGATTTGGAGCTCTCTTTTTAGGTGGATGAGTTTTGGATTTTGCGCCGCCTTTAGGAGAAACTCCAGCACCATGTTGTCCATTGAATCGATTTCTGGAGAACATTTTCTCAAGAAAGCATGTTATTCTTACTTAGTTCCCCACATTGTTGGTAGGATATAGTCAAACTTCTTGCCATACCATAGTTGAACATAAAAAATGGCAAATACCAAATGGCAAAAAAACTAATTTCAGTGGCCCAAAACTAAAACGAGAGAGAGAAAAAGAGAGAACAAGAGATCATAAATATAAAAAACAACACTATCCAAGTTTCTTTACTGCTTAGAAAAAGACATATCTGAGGCTTAAATTACTTGTTTAACAAATGCAGGAGATCATATTCTGACTTAGATGTTACTTATCAAACTCACAAGTTTGAAAGTGTTTAATATAGTATCTAGATATAGACATATTGCAGAATTAAGGCAAGTTAGTGTATACTTGCTGTTTTATGTTGAACATGTAATTGGATTTGTGCTCTTTTCACATTTCCTACCTTTGCCATCTGAACAAAACAAAACCTCTGTACTTTAAAACATATACATGCAGATTATTAAATAATACAAGCCATAACAATCCTTAATACTCAAACAGACTTCCCATCTCTTTTAAAAACCTCTCAATAAACCTTCTGTAGCTCTGCAGTGGTTTAGAGTGAAAGGCTATTCAGCTGTAGTCAAATAAAAAACATTATTGGTGGTTAATCATGGGATTTTTTAGGTCACACACACAGGCCGCATACCCTTCACTTGGCTCAATGCTTGGGTCTTTTTCTAAAACCACCATCTAAACCTGTCCTCTAACTTTGCCATAGTTTGATTGTTGTAGTCTGATGTCTCATGGTGTGAATAGTTGCAAAACCACCTGCAGTTAAATCTGCATAGTAAAGGTTGAAAAAAAATATCTCTAAGGCCAACTCCTGACCTGATTAGCCTGATTGCCCTAACCCTTTCTCAGAAATAATAAAGCTTTTGAAAGACGGGTAAAATATCTCAAAGAAAGAGCAGTAGAAGCCTGTTGACTATTAAGGAAATTTCTCTCATTACCTGACATTACATGTACAACTCTGGTCAGCCTTTAAACCATAAAGGTTTAATTAAACTCTTTGTGCTCAATGACCAATATAGAGTTTAAGGGTCATAAAAACCTTTTTCTTGACATCAAAGTTCACTAGATGAACATTTAAGGCACTTGTTTTAATGTTCAATTGGGAATATATCTGGGGTCAAGCTTGTTGCATTCTTAGCCAACATAATAGAAAAAATATATTACTCTTCAATTAAAATGGCAAATCATATCAGACCAACAATCCTTGTAATATGAAGAATTGAAGCAAAACCGCACCTGGATACCTGGACATAATTATAATTTCTGCATCATGATTGTTATAATTTTTATTGTGGCCAAACAGAAATTTTTTTAGACATGGTCACATAAAAGAAGACAAATAAAAAACAGTTTTGTTCTAACCCAAAACTGAAACAAAAACTATTTATTTATTTGAGATAGATTTATAGCGTTTGAGTTTTATGACCAGCAAATCGGATTGATAAATCAGTTTTAATGCAATTCAGTTTATTAATTTAGCACTAATTTACAACACATGCATTCTCCACACACTTAACAGAATGGAGTTTTGGTTTTATCAGTCTCTTAAAGTGCTTTACACTACTGCCCTTTTCACCAATTTGAACTCACACACATACTGTATGTAAATTCACCTGTTATGTGGTCGAAAAAGATAGACTCGCATTTATTGATTGGTCTATGGATAATTTTTTGTTTGTTGTTAAATAAAAGAACCATAATTAACCCTTCAGCTTGTGCAATCAATTACCACTTACAAGTAAAGAGCAGTCTTACTTGACCAAATATGAATGCATATCAGGTATCATAAAAGGTAAAATGATAAAAAGGTTAAGTGAATATGGACACTACCAGAACATTTCTTTTATCTGAACAAGGAAAATGACAAAAAAATAATTATAAAAGCTTAAGGTGAAAAAGTATACACAATCCAAAGACAATTTAGGTTTATTTAACACCTAAAGGAATGTTCTGGGAGGAGCATGACAAAAGATTTTTCTGGTAAGCCTACTGTATCACAAACAAAACAAAATATCTGCTGAAGCTTCAGCTTGAAAAGCCTAACAGTAAATTGGACTTATTAATGTTGCTGACTTGTCAGACAAGCATGGAAAGCTAAAAAGATAATCTCATGCTCAACAGAATCTAGCGTCAGCATTAAAAAATAAAAAAATAAACTACAAACAGACTTCGAAAGAAAAACTACCTAATATCAATCAAATATCCAATTCCATAATCACAATTGCTCTAAGAGCTATAGAGAGTTAAAAAAAAGACAAGCAACTGGATCAGTAATTTCAACTATTTTAAACACCTACAGTAAGATAAAAAAAAAGAAAAATCTTCCACACTACCTGTTCAAATTTGCAACTCCATAACGTCACCTTCTTCCATTTAGTCTTAAATGTCAAATTCATTAAATAAACCAAAATAACACAGAAAAACAGGTGTCTTGTGTTGCAGCTACATCAAACAAGATTTATTAGGATAAATAATAATTAGGTCTAATCATTTAATCCCTGTTGGAATAATTATGTACCAATATTTTTTGGTGATTTTTACCACTGCAAAATTGATTCTTTAGAATAAATTGCAATAAAAAAAAAATAGATAAAATTGCACAATAAGATGGGTTATATAACATTGTAAATGTTTTATTGCAGAGGAAAATCTAAATGAGATTTGCATATTTAAATGTCTATATAAGAAGATAAGAGAAGACTTTTAAAGCTACTGTATTTCAAAAAGGTGCTTTGAAGAAAGAATGATGATAAATTATGTTTCATAAGGCATCGAAGCAGATGGAAAATTGTATGCATGTTTCATAACATTAGGAGGGAAAGCCTGACACTGATGTTCTCACAGAGTTGGTATTTTTCTGCTGCTTTATCTTATCACAACACTAAAACCACAACTATCATATTCATCTATAGTAACTACACTGAGATGTTTCCTCACAATGTGTTGTATTGCCCTAGAGGTACAGTATGGGAACATTCTGCAATAGCACCATCCCTTCCAGTTATGCTACAGAGGAGAAACTAGTATTCCCATCTGCTTATCATCAGGATGAATGTATGAAGATAAAGGGTTTCTGCATAACAGAATTTTACATCCACTATATTAACTATGTATGTACATGAGTAACTCAAGGAAAATAAGCCACAAAACTGGTTAGCTTACTGATTGTTATTTAAAAGTTGCATGAAGACTACTCTGAATTCACATTATAAACCACAAAAAGTACTGCTGATCTATCTTTGTCTTTCAGCAGGCAAGCTGATTTGATCTTCAGAGAAGTTGAGTAGACCTTAAAGAGACATTTTGCGAATGTTTAGTGAAAAAATATCTTTAAACTGGCTTTTTTATTTGACTTTTACAATGAAAACAGCATTTGATAAGAAGCCAGGCACATTAGTAGATCAGTGCCGATGCCTCTCTAAGCTTTTTCCTGAATGTACTGCTGAGCAGAAGTTCTGGCCAAAGCATGGATTTTCAAAATAAAAAAATCAATTGTTTGGCGACCCAATAATTGTAAACCAAATGGGTGGTGGCAGTCATGGCCTTGCAGTTAAAAACCTCTGGTATGGATGAAAGCATAGTCAGGGTTTAGAATGGCCTAGTCAGTTCCATGTAACTTAGTGTAAATGAACTACTGCATAGCTTGATTCTACAAAACTTTCTCTAAATGTCCACAGTTGATGGAGGCGATGATTGATGCCTTGCAGTTTAATAAGCAAGAAAATTGGTTCTGCAAAGTATTTGGTATGAGGTCATAAATAAATGCCACACCTTTCTAAATTTTTAATGCCAAAAAAACGTCAAAACCATGTGTCAGGTCTTTATGTTTTTGTACTAAATTATCCTTTTGCATTTATTTGTGTCACTAATAGTGGTCCATGACAATTCATTTTTTGGAATGTCTGCACTGCATTTTATTTAGTCTTAACCAGGAATCATGATGGTGTAATTTGTACCCATAATCACAACCGTCTACCTTCTTATGGCATAGATTAACACAAAGTGCTAATCTATGCCATAAAATCCAATTTAAATAAATTGAAGTCTATGGTTATATTCTGACAAATATGGCATCAATCAATCAATCAATCAATCAATCAATCAATCAATCAATCAATCAGTCAATCAATCAATCAATCAATCAATCAATCACTATTATTGCCTCTGGAAGGCACAGTTTGAAGATTCTGCATTTCAAACAAGGTAGCTGCAAGACATTTTATGTTACAGAGAGGAATTTGCATTTGGTAAAAAAAAAGTCAAGAATGCACAATTTGTCACTGTTCTGGTGACACGTCTACAGTAGATGTATTTTCAACTACAAAATACTATTTATGTAACGTATGTCTATTTCTTTGAGCTTTCACATGACAGCAACATATATTTCTCAGCAAAGAAAGAAAAGTTTCCTAAAGGCGGGTATACAATGTATAATATTTTCAGTTGTTCTCAGCTACAGCTCAAACTGTATGATGAAACCACAGGGATTTAAATTTCACAGCTCACAATGTGTTTTCACATGTGTCACACTGTATGGACCAACGCTCTGATCTGATCTACCTGCTCACACTGTATGTAAAAAAAAAACACACGTTGGACTCATCGCCTAGATATTGGCACTGGTCGGACTCAATCTGGAAGAAGAAGAACTCCCTTGTTTGTACATGCACAGTGCACAAGATTCAGGTAAATCTGCGGATAGACACTTGTAGCTCTGTTTCCACAGCAGGATTTGCTAACGAACACCTCACGAGGGCTGACTGATTTCAAACATGTTTGATTTTCTCCCTAAACTTATGATTCCTGATTGGGAGGTGGTTGTGAGAGGCGTGTATACTACATGATGCAGGACACACAATGAGGCTGAAACTCTGCCTGATCCAAAAAATTCTCGCACAATTAGAGAATCCGTCTGAAAAGGGCAAAAACTCTTACAGTGTATACCTTAGTTTATAGTATTTAAAATCAAGTCAGACTTTTGAATGATGTACTGTGAATCACATTTTAAGGTCCTAAAAGGAGTATGGACTTTCAGGACTGTGTTGGTCAAACCATGTGTGAAAATACATAGTGAACCACTCTTACACAATTTAGTCT